TGTGTGTGTGTGTGTGTGTGTGTGTGTGTATATATATATATATATATATATGTGTGTGTGTGTGTATATATGTATATATGTATATATATATGTGTATATATATATATATATGTATATATATATGTGTATATATACATATATATATATATATATATATATATATATATATGAATAACAATAATGCGCAATCCGAAAATTTCTTCCTTAGTTTTCAGTACCATAACTGGTCAATATACTTCATACATGATAATTAGTTGCATAATTGACACGAACATTTATGAGTCTTTCATTTTGTGTTCAGAAAAGAAACAAGATGGGTTTCAATCAGGAGAGATTTTGACTGTACATCTCATAGACTGTCTGGTGCAGCCTACCTCCTTATCTGAAGCAAAAATATATCCAATTCCGTCAAAAATGGTCTTTCTGAAGAAACGGGTCTTCTTTACAGGTGAAAATTATTGGTTGCCTTTTGGATCCTCTCTTTTATGGGTGCTACATGGGGCGGAGACAGAGCCTGCAAAAAATATACTCCCACTGTGTCATTCTTCAACAATGTCCAATCAAAATACTCACTCTGATGTAATGTGCTAAGGTAAATGCCACTGAATGAAAAGATATTTTGCTTGATAATACATCAATTCTTCACACACTTTGTGCATGCATGCAGTTCAGTATTTAATGTACTCAGAAAACATGTACAAGATACGACATGTGGGGGTTAACTCATACCATAATTTATTCAAAACAAAATGAAGCATCCCAAATGGTGTTGGTGTATGCAACATTTTGAAAATCAGTTACATGGCTTGTGGAAAAGTTTCCAAACTGACAGAATTATAATGGCTGTGCGAACGGATTTGTCCCGAAACAAATTGGGGTAAGGAACAAGTTCGTGACTGCAAATAAATACACCTGCACCCCCCTCGCCCCTGTGTTCTTCCCCACAAGATCATTTCACAAAGCTCTTGCCACTTGGTGAACACTGACGCATACCTGGGACATCCTGCGGTTCTTCAAGAAATCCAAATCTATCACATTACCATATGGATTATACTTACATTTTTCAGCGGGTATACCAGTAAATGGGACAAACGTATCATACATGCGTACAAAGGAAAATCAGATTTTAAAGGGCAATTTTCAGACTGCACATAACACATAAATGCTTTTTTTAATGGCACAGGATTTGATAAAAAACAAAAAAACAATGGACCTACTGTCCCATTTTATCTTTTCAAAAACTGGTAGATGGGGTGTGACTCTCGTGATTCATCTTTCCGATGAAGTGAACGTCTCTGCAAATGGATTTGTTTGGACAAGGCAAGGTTATCTAAACAAGTAAAACGAGATAAACACTCACACGCAAGAATTTCGCATATTCCAAAGCAAATGAGGAAATAAAAAAGTAGCTTCATGAAAGTATTGAAAGAACGTATTGCACAAGAACAACATTTGGGGAAAATTTTATCATAAAAAGGCTTTAAATGACCTTCGTCATAGGTATGTAGGGGCGGGGAAGCAGTTTTTAAAGCTGGATTTGCAAGCACGTACAAGTTGGAGGTGACTTTCCTTCTGTTGGCAACTTTTTCCATTTGCATGCAGCGTCACAGCTAAATGCCTCTTCACCATGTTTGCTTTGAACTCTGACCTCCAGGAGATACATGTTGAAATGGACATAACTCAAAGAATATTTCCTGCGAAACAATGCGATTTTTGTTGCTGCCTTTCAATAGAAAAGTTTAGGAAGAGGACTCTTAACCATCAGTCATCACTTTCGCAATAAATTCTCTTCCTTTTCTTCCATTCTTTGTTTATCAACCACCCTGAAAATGGATCGCTCACAAAAATACGGTATAACACGACGTAGGAATATCTTCAAGACTTTGGACACTTTAATGATGCCCAAAGCGGGTGAGTTCAGCCGATCTTCAGAATTCTACAATTACGGTTGATGGAAAGGAACAGGACACGCACGCAAACACGAATGCGTGTCATGACCTCTGCTGAAGCCCTGAGGCTGGCTCACTGAACCTCTGGGATTCCATCAAACCCAAGTTAAGAATCTTCTTGGGAACCCACAATCTCAGGGAAGAGTCTTCCTTCTAGTTAGCCGTCTCTATGACAACCAAAAGTATTTGTTCTGCACTGCTCACTTGAAATTCCATTCATGATTTTTCTTTTATGAAATGATTTGATTTGCCTTCTTTGTAGTTTTACGCCGGTGTCAAGAAAGCCTCGACTTGCCTGTCATCACGCGGCTTTCGGTTAAACCTGTCGGTGGCATAAAAAAAACAAAAAAGAACGAAAAACACTCATGGTTCAATCAACAGAATGTTTTTCTTCCCAATATTTGCATTACACCCCCCCCGCCCCACACACACACACTTACAAACCAAAAAACACTCATGGTTCAATCAACAGATTTTTTTTCTTCCCAATATTTGCATTACACCCCCCCCCGCCCCACACACACACACTTACAAACCGTGCAAGCCTTTAAAAGTAATATTTGTGATCATCAACAGCTATAACTGCTTTTCTAAAAACAGAAACATGACAGTGAAGGAGTTTTTTTTCGAATCCAATTGGCAATACTTGCAATGTCACCTTTCCCGTTTCACCATCAGTGTCGTCCTGCGTCATCTCTGACCCTGCTGATGTGGTGTTGTCACAAACACAAACATGCCCTCCCATTTCCCCAACAGATAAGGGGAAAAAAAATAAATAAACGGACCATAGATTCCTCCTTGCCACATTCCTGAAGAATCAGAGGTAAGGTAGAAGACCAGTTCTGGCTCAAGAGCATCCCTTCTCCAATCTCACGTACGAGTTCACAACTATACTTGACGGCTTCAAATGAGAGTGAAAAGGGAACACGGTTAATCCTCTGAAACATTTGATCCATGAGCAGTCAAACAAAACCAAAAGACATTGTGTTGACTTAAGGCATTAAAAGACTAGATTTTAATGAGTGAAAAGGTAATTAACATTCCCCGTTTGAAAGGGAAAATGGCATCTTGCATCAAACAAAATATCACGTGACTTAATAGTCACGGTGGAGTTTGTTCTGAAAGTTTTTTTTTTTTGGGTCCTATTCCTTTGTCGCTGGATAGTTTTTGAAACATGATTAACATCTAAAACATGTCGTGTGACATCTGCATAAACTGGTTTAATCACACACAAGTTCGGATCAAATCGGAATTTATGGGTCATTTCCATGAAGGCATTGTGGCAGACTACTAAGATGTCATGATTATCTTTCACCTGAACAAGTCGCTGATTATTTCTCTTTCTTAAAAAAAAAAAAAAGTGGCTGACAACCCGTCCAAGGTGTACCTCGCCTCTCGTTGGCTGGGCACGTCCACTCCAGATCAACCCAATGCAAATCTACCGAGGACAAGCGCGATGGAAGATTGAATGAAAAATGTCAATCCTCCAAACCGTTCGTTTCTTTACTAAGCCAGTCAGGTTTTCCAAGGTGTCAAATTGTAACTTCATGAATGACCCTCGTCATTTCTGTTTACGGTTGAGAAATCTGAAATTCTGCCAATTCTTTTTTTTGTCAAGAAAAATCTTTTTTGGGACAGTTCACACGAACCTGGGAAGTCCGCAGGTGACTAAGAGGCAAAGTACAGAGGCAACTTCCTGAAGCAATTAACAGGGAGGGAGCTCCCAAAATGATTGCATTTGGATTGAAGGGAATCGCCAAAGCAGAGTGACAAGATGCAAGGACTGTCTCTTAAAAACCCTCTCAATTTCCTTTTAGTTATCCGCTTCGGAATATATGAAACATGTTTGAAGATCAGTATTGAACGTGTGGGCCAAAACTGAGAACGATTTAGTTGTGTTTTGTTGCGATGTAGCATCAAGCTCTTTCACCTTCTCAGCACCTGCTAGCATATTTTTAGTCGTCATATCTGCCGTGATTTGAGTTCTTGAGTCAGTGTTTTATGTTGGACTTTGTATTTTATATCTCACTGCACAATCTGTCTTTCATGAGTCAAATCTCACACCTCAGAATTCACAAAAGGTAAAAGTTAGCAGCCGCTAATGCAGCTACTAGCTTGCGCGACTTCTAAGCAGTTGTGGCTGGACAAAGCAAGACCGCGACCATGACGTGTAACTATTTAAACACATTACAAGTACCGAATATTACGTCAGAATGCTTTAATGGCTCAGAGGCACAAGTCGGCGTCTAGCTCTTAACACACACAAAGCGAGAAGAACCAACAGAAAAATTTGAGTCGACATTAAAACATGAGTGCAGTTGTTAAATTTCTACTAAAGAAGTGAATGACCATGAAATGTGCTTTTGTGTGGAAGTTTCATCATTCTTATGCCCACGAGTATTATTGATGAGAATTGTGAATTCAAAAGCAAGACAAGTCAAGTCTCTCTTGTGCAAGTTTGTAATGATAAATTATCAAATATGGACGTATATCAATTTATACAAGACTGAATGTGGATTATTTCAATTGGATCACTTCCATCATAATCAAATAAAAACATCTTGAAAATAAAAGCTGCCTTCCAAAAGGAGACAGTGAGCCGAAATGGAGCAAGAAAAAATAAAAACCATTGAGATGTTAGGTGCACTTGAGACTTTCACAGTGCAAGCACAGCCAGCAGAGCCACCGTGATAAGCAGAGCTGCAAGAGGACCAGAGGGGAAGGGAAAATAACAATTTGTCAAAAAAAGAAAAAAAAAGCCAATAACACTCTGGATTACCGTATTTTCCGCACTATTCCAAGTATAAGGCGCACCTTCAATGAATGGCCTATTTTAAAACTGTTTTCATACATAGGGTGCACCGCATTATAAGGCGCACAGAAGCTACAATCGTGGCTGAGGTTGCGTTATCCATCCACTAGATCAGGGGTGTCTAACTCATTTTTGTCACGGGCCACATTAAAGTTATCATTTCCCTTGGAGGGCCGTTATGGCTGCGAAACCATATAAAGAAGTCATGAAGACTGGTTTATTCAAGTTACTGTGGTGAGGGTTTTGGTAACAAGAAAAATTACAATAGCTCTCTTATATATTTCATGTGAGAAATTGAAATTTTGGTCTAAATATTAGCAAGCATGACAGAAGCCGACATGTTTGATTTGCTTTCACGGGCCACATAAAATGATGTGGCGGGCTAGATCTGGCCCCCAGGCCTCGAGTCCGACATCGTTGCACTAGCTTGACCGTCGCGAAAGGGAATACAACACAATACAGCTTTATTTCTATTGAGCTTTCACAACCGCTGCACCTGGAACAAATCGCTTTCCAGAACCTTCAAAATACTATGTCCAAGAAATCAGAATATTGATCCACATATAAGGTGCATCGGATTATAAAGCGCACTGTCGGCTTTTGAGAAAATTGAATGCTTTTAGCTGCGCCTTGTAGTGCGGAAAATACGGTACTTGGGTTTCTTGAGCTCACCTTTTGTAAGGGAGTGATTCTGCTGGTGGCTGGCGCGGCTTGTGGTGGCAACCGGCGGCACGGTTGGGGGAGCTGAGTCATCCTGGTCGCCTGAGCCGTCGTCGTCATCCTGGTCGCCTGAGCCATTGTCGTCGTCCTGGTCGCCTGAGCCGTCATCAGCCGGGTCATCTTGGCCATAGGCAGCCATAAACACGCCAGCCAATAACAAAATGAAGACCAATTTTGGGGACATTGGTTCCAAAACGCTGTCAGAACTGATGGAAGAAAATTATGAGACAAATTTGTTTGTCATTGAATTTTGACAACACAAGACTGAAATAAAAATCTATGTTCCAATTATGCAGTTTAAAAAAAAAAATATATATATATATATATAACTACAAAGTAGCAAGTAGAATTTACAAGAAACGAGACATTTTGTCAATTCCTTTAAAGTTTGTTAAATCTTGATTACAGTGATCACCCAAAAGTTTAGTCATTTGCAAAATCACCGTTGGTCAAAATGCTTTACGTACCACAATTGGTCGTGTGATTGACACGAAAGGCTACATTGCTGGTACACGCTAACATTTGGGAGTCTTTGTTGGATTGCATACCGGTGAGAAATAAAATGAGACTTAATCAGTACAGATTTGGACTGTGCTGATCGTAGACTGTATGGCGTGACCTACCTCCAGATTTGAAGCAAAAATACGTGCAAGTTCCGTTGAGAATGCCCGGCGAAAATTATCGTTTTCCGTTGGCATTCTTTTTTATATTGATGCTACATGGGGCGGAGTTATGGATTGACAGTGACCCCTCACTTATCGCGCTTAATGGGGACCGGGACCCGGCCGCGAAAAGTGAAAAACCGCGAAGGAGGGTTTGTCCCCCCCTCCCCTCGTAAGAAGTTTTGTGTGTGTATACATGGGTACCAGCATGTTTAAAATATGCAAACAACAGTGTGACGAAACACAAGGGGCAATGCTGGGGGGGGGCTACGAAGATGCGCAGCCAATCAGCTCACGGGGTAAATATACTTGTGCCGTGATTGGTCGACGTCACGCCGGGGAACCAATCATGTGTACAGGCATGAACAAAACCTCTGCGTCATCCGGCATTTTTTTTCTCAATATCGTACTCTTGGGGGAAAAAAAACAAACAAACAAAACGCGATGTCCCGAAGCTGCGATAAATGAAGTGCGACATAGCGAGAGATCACTGTAAACGCCATCATGGCCTACCCAAAAAAAATAAACAAAAAAATTTACTCCGATTATGTTGTTCTTCAACAATGTCTATTCAACACAGTGAAATATTTTTTCTTTTGTAATGTGCTGAGGTAAATGCCACGGAATTGAAATTGAGATAGTTTTCTGAATATAATAATACATCAATTCTCCACACGTTTCGTGCATGCATGATGTTCAGTATTTAATATACTCACAAAACAAAACGCGTGCAATACAACATTTGTCGGGTAACTAATCCCGTAATTTATGGACAACAAAATTAATCACCCAAAATGGTTTTGGTGTACGGGCATATTTTCATCAAATACATCCACAGTTTTGAAAATTACTCATTTTGCATTGACATTTATTAGTTCCGATGAGGCTTGTGGAAAAGGTGAACATAACTTTAATTCCAGTATGATATGTAATATGGCCGTGCGAACAGATTTGTCCCATTCGTCTGGATAATGCTTACATTTTTCAGCGTGGATACCAGCAAATGCGTACAAGCATACAATACATGCGTACAAAGGAAAATCAGCGTTTAAAGGGCAATTTTCAGACTGCATATAACATACAAATGTTTTTTAATGGCACAGGATTTGAAAAAAAAAAAAACAAAAACAAAAAAAAAAACAATGGACTTACTGTCCCATTTTATCTTTTCTTTAACTGGTAGATGAGGTGTGACTCAGGTCAAACAGGTCTTGTGATTTATCTTATCGAAAAGGTGAACGTAGCCCCAAATGGATTTGTTTGAACTAGGCAAGGCTATCAAAAAAAGAAAATACACACACACACTCACACACAAATTTTAGATATTCAAAAGCAAACAAGGAAATAAAACGTAGCTTCATAAAGATATTAAAAGAATGTGCCGCACAAGAACAAGATTTGGAGTATGGGGCTGTATTTGCAAGCATGTACAAGTTTGAGGTTAATTAAAGGAATTAACCTCAAAGTTGTACACTGTTGGCAGCTTATGCCATTTGCATGCAATATAACAGCTAAATGCTTATTCACCATGTTTGAGCTCTGAGCTCCACCGGATGCATGTTGAAATGGATGCATGTACAAAGGGCTGGTGATTGAATTTTTTTTTTGTACATTTTTTAGAACATATTTTTACGGAATTTCAAATCTCGTCAATGTTGTCACAGCCAACTATTAGAGACGCAACTTTGAAAGTACGATGACAGGTGGCTGCCTTCCTTGCAGGAAAAACTGTCTACCGTGCAAAATGATTTTTAAAATGTTCTTTTATTTTATTTTTTTTAATAAAAGTTGATAAGTAAAGCATAATGTGAGTAATTTGAACGGTTTACGACCAGGGTGCCACCTCTGCTGAAGCCCTGAGATCAAACCCAAGAGTCACTGCATTTGAGCCATTTGAAGTTTCTTGGGAAACCAGAATCTCTCAGAATGTCAGTGGCATTAAAAAACCAAAAAAAACCCAAAATAAACACACCCGTGGTTGAATTAACAGTTGTGTTGATTAAACATTTCTTCTTCTTCACAATATTCGCATTACCCCTACACTATCAGATTACAAACCAAGCATGTTAAAATGAATATTTGTGATCATCAACAGTAATAGCTCCATTTCTAAAGATAGAAACATGACTCGATGTTTTTTTTTTCAAATACATTTGGCCAAATTGAAATGTCGCCTTTCCCGTTTCTCCATGAGTGTCATATCCTGCGTCATTCGACCCTGTCTAAAAGCTGATGTGTTGTCACAGACACAAAAATGCCCTCCCACTTCCCTGACAGATCAGAAAAAAAACAACGGACCCAAGATTGCGCCTTGCCACATTCCTGATGAATCAGAGGCAAGGCAGAAGACCAGTTCTGGCTCAAGAGCATCCCTTCTCCATGTTCACGTGATAGTTCAAAACTATACTTGATGGCTCCAAATAAGATTGAAAAGGAAAACCGGTGAGCCAAAACGTAATTAACATTCCCAGTTGAAAGAGAAAATGGCAGCATAACTTCAAACAGTTTCCACAGTTTTTGTGCAGCTAACAAACAGTCATGGTTCAGTTTGTGTGAATTCTTCAGTTTTTTTCTCCTCTTCCTTTGTAGCTCGATAATTTCTGAAACATGATTGCCAAGACTAGGAACAATTGAGTCGTGAATTGTTGCAATGTCGGATTAAACTCTTCTTCACCTTTTCAATTGTCCGGATTTTTTAGGGTGTGACTAAAACTGGTCCCAGTGACACGCTTAGGTTCCTGGCATGAATCAGTTCGCCCACAATGGAAGCAACGAGAGCCGTAGTTCCGTCTGCGGCTATCCGTCGCAAGAACAAGTTGCTTAATTGTAAAACCTTGACTCATTTCAACCACTACGGTGTTTAGTTATCTAACTATATCTACAACCCCCAAAAACGCATGTTCCCCGAAAGTGTTATGCCAGAGCAAACAGATGATGAGTTGGATATAGCTTCACTGCGCAACTAGCGACAGGTAGCTATGAGCTACCAGTTGGCTCGGGGACCGACTGGTCCGTCCACTAGTCCACGGCCACGCTCCATGGTCTGCACATCTAGTACTTGTAACAATCATAACTTAAAATTAAAATACTCCCTGCCGGAGACGCACAAACATTGGAATGCGCCAAGCTGAGAATCGGTTTGGGAGAAACGAACGTTATCACACTTCGTGCCTCGGTACCGCCCTTCTGATGGTATAAAAATGATGCGATTCTCTTCCTGCTTCGCACTCGTGACCCGCAGCCATTGTCTGTAATTCACTGATGCCCAGCATATTCTGTTATTAAAAGCTTCGAAGACATTGTTCATCGATTCCAGCCTCTGTTTGAAGAACCAACATTATCCTCGTCCGAAATTCAACGAACACACGGAGGAAAGAAGGCCACTTTCCTCCAACAATCCACACAACAGAGACACCTGGGGGTGAAGTTAAACGTTTTATTACTTTGGCTAGCCGGCAAGCAAACAAGCTAGCAAGCTAAGGATCCAACAAGCTCGCCGGGCCGCAGAAAATTCTTCCAGGACATCTCCAGCTCGCTCGGTGTTGTGTGTGGATCCCCACATAACAGAGACAGTTAAAGCAAAGTAAACCGTTTATTTTGTTTGAGAGCCCGCAAGCTAACAACTTAGCAAGCTAACAAGTTGGCTCCACCGTGCCAGTATTTGAGGAGCGCATTCAGTCATTTGGGGGCATTACATAACAGAAATGCTTTGCCATTTACTAACCACAGCATCACACCCTTTTCAGCCTGCAGATGATGTGACACTTGGGCACAAACCAGTGTATTTGATTGACAGGTGAAGAACGAGCACAGCATGTTTTCTACACGTTCAGTGAACACGCCCGCACTTTCCGACAGTTGGAATGCAGGCCTGATTTTTCATGACTGGAACCTGATTTTCTATATGGCAATTTTATTTTCAATTTGGCAGGCTTGTTAACAATATTCTCTTTTGTGTCTGATTTACAAGACTTTTTTTTTTGGTCACTTTCCAGTACCTTTAAAAATAAGGTACATGTACAAAAATCAGCCTTAACCATTACTCCAAAAACCCCATGAGGAAACGTATGTCAGCTTCACACTTAGGAAATATGTTGCTGGGCAAAGGTAATGCTAAATTCTAAGCTAGCGGACTTAGTGTAACCATGACAATGAGAAGAGGTCAGAAATCTGACGGTTTTATTGAAAGAAACTAAAAATCAGTTCTTCGCTTCACAAGACAAAGATTGCATATGGTACAAAGCGTGGCGGCTGTAGCCAGGGGTCATCACTCCTCCAGCTCGATAAGTTTCTTTAGCTCTGACTTGATGCGTTCATCGTCCTCATCCTCATCGTCCTCTTCCTCCACCTGGATGCCGTCCATGGTCTTCTGGAGCTCTTCCTTGATGCGGTTGAGCTCCAGGAGCCCGTCCTGCAGGTCCTTGCAAACCTCTCGGATCTTGGCGGCAAACTCCGTCTTGGCGCCCTTCCGCAGTTCTACCGAGTCCTTGGCCAAGAAGAAGATATCGAGCGCCAGGAAGAGTCCGGACATGACCCCGGTGGTGACGCTCATGACCTGAGCGGCTTTGGCGGCGCCCCCCGCCACACTGAGAACCTGGACCGTGTTGATCAGGCTCTCCGTGTTGATGACCAAAGCCTTGCCTGCCCGGCCGCCCTCCTTCATGACGTGTTTGACGTTCTGGTTCAGATGCTTCTGGGAGATGCTCTGGGCATACTGCTCAAAGTCCCACTCCTCGAGAGTTTCCATGCCTTCCTGGCGGGGAGGAAAGCAAAGCGCTGACCTACCCGGAGGGTCCCATCCGCACGGATTTCTTCAACTTTAGTCATTTTATTTTCTTAAAGTTATTTCTGAAAAGCTGTTAATTTAAGGCTTTCTGTTAAAGGTGATCAGGCAAATAGGATGATTTGTTTTTTCGGTTTTGGCTTGGCCTCGGACCCTGTATCCCATTAGAATAGATCCGCCACTCCACTGAACATCAGTGGAATCCACTCTCCTCATTCAGAAGCAAAACAAGAGGAATCTGCAGTCAGCTGACCCTACATGTGATCTGTTCACAAATTGGAAGTTGACACCAAGCAGAAAGTGGAAACCATCTGTGTTTAGCTTTTTTGCTCCACAGTGATATGAAGAGAAATTATGTGAGAATTTTTGCAGTAAATTTGTGTGTCATATATATATATATGTTTAGTAATAGTGTAGTGAGTGAGTATTGTCACGATACCAAAATTAGGTATTCCTGCAAAGGCTTGTTAGATAATCCCACGAGACTAATACTGACACGATACCAGTTGCTTTTAACCGTTAATGCTCGGAATTTTTTTCCTGTTTCGGAATTTGAAATGTACTCCTGTGTAAACAGTCCTAACGCACCTTGTGTCTCACGGGGAACGCAAGTGACATCAGTGTTTGCTTAAGAGCTGCGAACCACAAAAGGTTGAGTACTTTACAAACAATGAGCCACTCAATTCTCAGCATCTTCCTGTTACGTGACACGCGTGATCTGAGCGTCCTCAGCTCGCTATCGCTTTCGCACACAGTCATAGAAACTGTTTCCTGCTTTTAAAAAAATGCTGTCACTTGATCGTTCGAATACCCAATTGGCCATAGAGATTGTATTTTACAACAGCACCGAACAGTATTTACAGTTTCACATGTACCACCGGATGCGTCCAGCCTTCGTTGCTAAAATGCTTCAGTGAGTATGGGAGACGGCGAAAGCCACATCACACACAATCCTTCATTTATAAAAAACAAAAGTGAGGCGAGATGGCCGTGAAAGTGGCAAAGTACACATCCAGACTCAGATATGTATGAACTTATGTATTTAAACGGGAAGGACATAACCTAAGACAAAGAGTGTACGAGAAGATGGGCCAAAAGCTGGATAAGAAAGTAATGCTCAAAGGGCAATTTTGCAAAGAGCTCACCTGTAAGAACTGGAGACAGTCTTTGATGTCGTTCATCTCCTCCTGGTAGTCCTGGATCATCTTCTCCACTTTCTTGCGATCCGTCTTGGAATGCACCGTGTCGGTGATGTTGGCGGAGGCGGAGGTGAGGCCGCCCGCCGTGGCCACGCCGATGCCCACCGCCGTGACGATGAGCGACGTTCCGGCCGTGAACGGGGCCAGGATGAGTCCCGTGATGGTGGTGACAGAGCCGGCCACGCCGACCACCCCGCCGCCCACGCTGGCCGAGACCGTCTTCTTGTGGAAGTTGTCGGCGGCGTCGGCCAGCGCCAACAGCGCCAGGACGCGCTGCTGGAGCGATGCGCCGCGCTGGTTGAACAGGCGCACGAACAGGCGCGCCGCCATGAATACGCGGTCCGCCGCTTCTTCCACCACCCTGAGGCCCAAATAGTCATGATCAATGCTGCTTTCAACAGTCATTCGCTTTATGGCCTGGTTCTCTCACTGGGGAGGGGGTCTGCAGAATTGTGTGCACTTCATCTTCATGTCCAATCGTTTTTTGAAGCATTTTCTTAAAAAAGGTTCACTTTTGAATTCCTGTGACATTTACGGGTAGCCGTCATAGGGACGTTTAACTGCTCTTGGGATTGCAGTGAAACTGCTCTACAACGAAACCTACATGGGCGAAAATACCCCCTAGTGTGAAAAAAATCTTCATGCATTAAAACCATTCCCACTTTTCTGCTCCCCCTACGACAAAAAGTTCCCCTATTGTGTTATACGAAATCTTTTTCTTTGCCTTTGCCTCACAACGAGATTCACTACAACGAAAACAAGCCTTTCGCAAAAATCGAATCCAACCTCAGCCTACAGCGACTCCGACTGCTTAGCTCGGAAACGTCAACAGAAAACACCACAGTGGCTTACACATGCGCAGTAAGTAGTACAGGAAGTATTTGTTATTTTTAGTTTCAGACGCAGCACGAACGTTGCATCGCTAAAATGGCTACAAAAACGGACCTTTGCAGACCAAGGAGTGAAGAAAAGAAAAGCTTTAATGCTTGAAGACAGGATAAAAGTAATAGAAATGAAAGATGGAGGAAGCAAAGTAGAAGACATTATGCAAGAAACTGATGTAAGTGAAAGTGAATGCTGATCGTAAATTTTGCCATTTCTTTCCCTTTTTGTCTTTCTACGCTGGCTATGTGAAGTGTCAAGTGTATGCTCATATTTATGCACTATTGTAATAAAAATAAAGTTTGCTTTAGAAAGCAATAGGGACGCCATCGTGCCCCCCCCCCCCAAAAAAAGTCAACTTACTCTTCAGACTGGTGGTCTTGGGTGGTCTCATTCCACTCGCTCCACCCTGAGCCAAAGGCACATGATGACAAATGACGGGGGTTCCACAACGAGCTCATTTGCTTGCCATCAAATGCGCGTACGTACCGTCAACTGTTCTCCACCACGCCAGGAGTCCGTCTTCATCCTGGAAAAGAAACGTTTCCCTTTTGATATCTAGCTCGTGCACGCACTTGTATCAAAAGTGAAATACCTCCAGCGGGTCCGTGGCACTGGCGTCGTCCAACGCGGGCATGTCGACCATCTCCAGCGGTTGGATCTCCACCTCCTACCCGCCGCGCAACACAAATCACAACATGACGGGGATTTTCATTTTGGCAATGATGGAAGGGCACTTCGCGTTGCATGAAGTTGAAGCGTGACGGCGAAGTCAAAAAATATGTTCTTTCCACTTCTTTTCTAGAGGGCCGTGTTGAAAATTTGGACTTGGTATTGAAGTTGAGCGAGCGTCACGGCGTTGCGCGTCCTGTGCGTTACCTCAGTGCGGGCGTCTGAGTCCTGCTGAGTAAAAAAAATAAATAAATTAGAAGCCGTGCGCGGGACTAAAAAAGCCAAACCATGCAGTCCACTCGTACCTTTGCACCTGAGCGAAACAGTGCAGTGGGAAGAATTCTTTTGATTCTGAAGGTCTGCCAGGCAACAACAGCAAACGATTTTGTTACAAGGAGTGGCAAGGCAACATTTGGCAATTGCAAATCAAACCTTCTTTCGTTTCTTCGGCTGCTCATTCGCTCGGCTGTTCAGCTCATTGCTACTGGGCTCATCTACGTACCAAACAGACTGAGGCCGGAGAGTTAGTGCAAAGAAGCATTTGCCCATCGAAGCTACGAAGCCCGACGGCGTCTTACACGTGTCTCCGCGACGGTGTCGGCGTCTGAGCTCTCGGGGCCGGGCCACGATGCCCCGTCCTGGGGTGAACAACAACACACATTTGAATTTTACCAGAATTTCATTTTCATTCCTGCCACAAACGTTTTCCTTCCATATTTTGTAATCCACATTCAACGCAAAATTGCATTTTCGAGTTGAGACTTATTTTACAAAAAGGCTCTTCGATCAGGCCATGGTGGTATTTTTATTTTTTTTTTTGACACATAATTCCAAATGCAAGTACTTTTCAAGATGCAGATAGCAGCACTTTACATCTTAAGGTGAAACATCAAGACATCTTTGTTCACTTTTACCTGCTTCACAGATGCCACAGAGTCCGTCTCCTCGTGTGGTGTCTGCATTCCGCGCGCGCGCGCGCGCACACACACACACACACACACACACACACACACACACACACACACACACACATTTGTCCCATTGGGTGAAAAAGACATCCAAACACTTGCTTTATGATTGGTGACAATTTTTTTTTTTTTTTTGTGGTGTTAGTGGTACACTTGCCTAACTTGCGTGGGATCAGTTCCCACTCAGTGACGATGTGAATGTGGGTGTGTATAGTTGTTCGTCTCTATATGTTGCCCAGTGAGTGACTGGCGACCAGTTCAGGAGTTTATCCCCGCCTTTTGTCCAAAGTCAGCAGGGAAAGGCTCGGGCAATTTCCGCGACCCTCTTCAGGGTAAGCCGTGTTGGAAAGGGATGGATGTGTACATGTGTGCCCCATTAATGAAGAAACCAATGAAAAGGTGATTTATTTTAGGGAAATGACTAAAAGAAGTAAGCAAGACATGTGCCGCAAAAAAAAAAAAAACGGCACATTCAGGAACACGTGACTCGTCATAGATTTCCACTGTCATTTTCATTTCATGTCATTTGCTCTCACAAGCAAATTTATCTCAGATCTTACATATTCAAGGTTTGTCATCAGGGTTGGAGCTTTGCGGGTGACAAGCGGACAGACGTGTCGGACCAAGATATGATTTAAGATATGACGTTTGCCTACCACTGTCGTCATCTGAAAAAATAAATAAAAATATCTACCTCTACCGGCTTCTCGGGCAGGTTGTCCGTCAGGCTTTCTTGGCCAGGGGCGGTGTCGGGCTGGAGGAGGGGAAGAAAAAAAAAAAAAAAATCAACAGTCTGTCATTCAAACAGCAGCAAAGCAAAAGCTAATGTGCGGCTCCTCCGAGTTGACGGACGCGATCATTTACCTTTGACTGCCAGGATTTGAACGGGTTGACCTTCTGTATAACACTCGCGAGCATTCCGGGGTTCTAAATAATCAAGCAAACACAAATGAAAGCAGGGAACAGAAATTTTAAACCGGGCACCAAACAAAAGATTATTTGAATTAAAAAAAACAAACTAATCTGTCGATTCATGGATGAATTGCATAAACAACAAAACAAGTTCCCATCCCATCATGCACACATGAATTGATTCCGATATGGTTCCTGGCTTGATCAGTTGCATCCGTCGAAAAAGCAGCAAAATAGTTGATCGTTGTTTTCCAAAGTAAAAAGGGACGTTTGCAAGTGTCTAATTTTGAAAGAAGACAAAAAGTATGCTTTCAAATTGGGGAAGATTTACTGCTTTGAAGGTGAAAGTTGGAGGATTTGGACCATGGTTGAGCTTCACTGTGTTTGTTCACCGAGTCAACTAGTGGCAGCCACTCCACTTCTTGTCGCTAACCTAATTATGTTCCATGTGGGAACTTGGTAAGCCTCTAAAATATTGCAGAATAAGAAAAATATTTAAGAACACGTCCTTTCCACGACCCGCTTTTGGGTCCTGACCCACAAGTTGAGAATCTCCGATCCAAACCACTCACTGGTTATCAAACTAGTTGTGGATGAATCAATTGTTGCACTTCGCAACTGAAAAGTATCACTGTGGATGCGCACCTCTTTTCCATCCAATTCTGTCTGTTGGGTTTCTGTAGACTCCTCCTGAGGCTCCTTGTTAGCCGCCTGAAATGGAGACCAGACTTTGCATCTTCGCCAATGCAACATTTTGGCTCATTTTGACATTATTGTGCTGGGGGGGCGGAAGGGGGGGGTCGCACCTGTGCTGAAGACTTGAACGGGTTGACTTTCTGAATCATCCCTTTCAGCATTCCCGGGTTCTGCGGGATGAGACGTCACTTTTTCAAGGGAACAATTTACCATTTGGCCACAAGGGGGTAGTGTTGTTCATCCTCAACCCCGAGCGGTTCTGCTTGCTTCTAAATATTCGTGAAGGTAATTTCAAGAGGAGCTTGACTTCAGTCAACATGCTCCTGCCTTATATATTTTCAAAGGCGTAACATCATTGAGAGCTATGCCAAGTTGTGCATTTTATTCATTTTCTTCCATACTTGAGAAAACTCAAAACAACGTCGTTGGCTACTCGGAATGTCAGAATTATTTGGGTTGCTCAGTCGAGATGTCCTCAAAATGTCAGTTTGTCAAAACTCTGATTGCGGCTGGATTAGCCATGTCAGCTCGTGGACTAATTGCCAAAACGTCCACTAAGCATATTCCCATTCTCCTGCCTTACATATTTTCAAAGGCGTAACATCATTAAGAGCTATGCCAAGTTGTGCATTTTATTCATTTTCTTCCATATTTGAGAAAACTCAAAACAACGTGGTTGGCTACTCGGAATGTCAGAATTATTTAGGTTGCTCAGTCGAGATGTCCTCAAAATGTCAGTCTGTCAAAATTCTGATTGCGGCTGGATTAGCCATGTCAGCTTGTGGACTAATTGCCAAAACGTCCACTCAGCATATTCTTGTTGTGATTGGGGAGTATGAACGAGTCATCATTCCTTACTTTTTTTTTTGGGGGGGGGGGGGGGTAAAGCAGTTGAAATTGATTTCTCATTTTGTCTGCTCCTTGGGGAAGCCCTTCTCCGATCAGTTGAAAATATCCACCAATGAGCTCATACAACTTGTCACCATGCTAAGTAAGCTCTTCTGACCTGCGTGGTGTCTGTTCCCAGTTCAGGTGAATCAGCAGTAACTGCGGAAGGGGTCTGTGATAGAGGAAGTTTTTATTTTTCTTTTTTTAACGAGCCTGTACGGACAGCGCAGTACCTCAAGAGTGCACGTTTTGTCTTACCTGTGACGAAGAACTCTTGAATGGGTTGACTTTCTGCATAACACCCATCACCCGCGTCTTCTGCAAATACATGTGCCATTCATGTGTGACTTTTGTTTGGATTATTCAGCTTCACGTGTATGCACACACCTTGGACTTTGGGAGACCTGCGGCTTTGCGGTTGCTTCCCTGTGTACAAGAACGTCAGTGCATTGAAAAGGAAGGGGTCTGTGATAGAGGAGGGTTTTATTTTTATTTTTTTAACGAGCCTGTACGGACAGCGCAGTACCTCAAGAGTGCACGTTTTGTCTTACCTGTGACGAAGAACTCTTGAACGGGTTGACTTTCTGCATCACACCCATCACCCGCGTCTTCTGCAAATACATGTGCCATTCATGTGTGACTTTTGTTTGGATTATTCAGCTTCACGTGTATGCACACACCTTGGACTTTGGGAGACCTGCGGCTTTGCGGTTGCTTCCCTGTGTACAAGAACGTCAGTGCATTGAAAAGGCAGCAAGTGCCAACATGTCAGTGTTTACATTACAACACTGACCTGCTGAGTCGCAGCTGTATCCTGTGCATCAAGGTTCTGCGCCATCGACTCAGCCTGCGCCTCGGCCTCATCCTGCGGCTCAACCGTTGCACCAAATCCTGCCGGCAGGCCCCCCAACCCACTCTGGTCCGTCCCGACCTGTTTGCCGGGCCTCGGCGGCAGCGACGGAGTGGTGGCTGCTGCTGCTGCCGAGCGTTTTTCTTTCCGAAACATGTTCATGCTGAAAGGACACGTTTACCATAACAGGCATTTCAAGGGTTCGAATGAGATTGACTTCTCTGTTTTATTTAAGTGCTCAACAAGGGATTCAATGAAAACACACAAGGTTTCGTTTTGTGACTTCTTTTCAGGGCCAGAGGGAGAAACAAGAGCCCCGAAATCACTCCGCGCTCAACAGGAGATTCATTGAGAACACACAGTTTGAATGACATTTTCTGCTCAGGCCTCATTCGGTGACCGTTTCCGAAAACACAGGCAGACACCTTGAATGTTTTCACTCAATGTCTCTTTTTGAGCACACCTTTAAGAACGCGACGTGATACTGTATTGTTGTACTACAAGTCAAGTCCGCATTTAGCATGACTGATAGAAAAGAACGTCTCTCCATTCATCTTTGATGAGAGAAGTTGGCTGCGAACGGGGCCCTTGGACGGGTGGGGTTCGAAACCGTCAAACGTATGAGAAAGGTCCGCCAAAGTCCAATAAACGAAACCGAATGCTAAACTTTTTAGTAAAAGATAAGCCGAAGTAAAAGATAAGCGGCGTTTACCTTCCGCCGCGTGCCACAAACGGGAGGCGAGTCCGGAAAGCGTTAAAAAAAAAAAGCTTCCGCTCCGCACGCACGCGAGACAAAAAGAGAGACGACAAACTGGTTGGTTTGGTCACCGAGTGTCACGTTTCACGGGCAATTCCTCGTAAACGGCGACCAAACAACAAAGACGAGACGCTTACCTTGCGCCACAAGAGCGGCGAAAAGTTTCACATGTGCCCGATGGAGCGAGCTCACCTGCGTCACCTGGTCGGAATGAGATGAGATGAGTGAGATGAGATGACATGAGATGACTCGTCGTGACCTTTCTGTCCAATGCCAACAAACTCAGACGAGCTGGCGTCAATCGGCAAAAGTCAGCTCAACATCGTCATCATGTGCCAGCGATCTACTGGGAAAAAAAAACTTTCTAAAAACTTCTCAGCACCCAACCGATCACACAAAACGTGACACATCCTTCAAATATCAGTTTAATTCCTTCATGGATCACACCCAAAACACTTGTACCTCAAATCACTGAAATGGATGGAAATCCCATTCTGCTCTTGCCTCCACAAAAAAAGTAATATTTGTGGGGGGGGGGGGTTATAGCACTGAATAACATTTTACTTAAAAAAAACAGTAATGTCATAATTACAGACTTAAAAAGAAAGACAAAGTTTTTAATCACATTTTTTTGTTTAATGCACAACTTGCTGCTCGTTCTTCACCACGAGGGGGCAGTAGAGGACAGACAGACAAAATGTACTAGAGGCTTGGCTATTTTCTCGACTTCTCTTCTTCTATTGCAGTAATTAGCCATTCTTCGCAGAGGATAAATGGCTGCCCGAGAGTGTTGCTACATAATCGGTCTAATAACAATACATTTGATTTCTAACGCACTTCGTGGCAAACAAATGACCTCAAAGTGCTACAGTGCAACATTACTAGTCTACATGTTGCTGAACTGTTTGCGATTAGATACCTATACCTTAAAGGGTGCTTGTGAATATTCTCATTCATCCGGGTCGTTTCGTCGAATGGATAGCAACGGGACTGTTGTGGTGATCTTCAGAGACATATTGGACAAATGCAAAACGACCATTGTGAAGCAGTGAGGCCTCTGTCTGTCTACAAGTTGCTCCTCATTCATATTCCACCGGGTTATAAAAAGGTAGTGGAGCTACCTCAGCACCCATCGAGGACTGTAACGTTTGTTTTACATTGGGAGGCATTCATGCATCTCTTTGGAATGTGTGGTGTTGTAAGCCACCGCCTGACTTGAGCTCTTCCCTCCATCAAACCATGTCTCCTGTCAACAATAGGCCGAGTTCATGGTCGCTTGCTTTCCCCAATAAATGCAGCTTGCTGGCTGTGCATTCATCCTTGTACTTGACCGCATGCACCAGATTGCTTTTCTGGGTATGAGCCATCCGGTCTTTGTGGTATGAACAGGTTTCAAAGGTACCGGAATGCTGCGCTAGTTGAAAATCCTTCAAGGTTAAAAAGCGGATAATTAACATTTAACGGTGTGCCTATGGGGCTGCCAATGACATCTGCATTAACGTGATAAACAGCTTGAAGTCTCTTTTGCTTCTTCTGCCATACTGTCGCTTTTTGTGAACGGAGTCACTTGCCACCATACAGCGCTCATACCTCAAGTTTTCATGGCACATATCTCAAAAACATAGGTGGGGTCATTCGTATCTCGAGGTACCGCTATCAACTCAGATAATCTCACTCATCTGCCTGCACTTGGTCTGAAACATGAATGGCAACAGGCGGATATTGAAGAAAACCAAGTGGCTCCTTGGGGCCCCAAAAAGGGGTAAGCATATTTAAAAAAAAAAAACAACACATTCAACAGAAATATCAAACTCTGCTCAGGGCCCATTGCCCGTAGTCATTTTCTGTTAAAGGAAACACATTGAGACATTGGTTACACTTAAAATAGCACTACGTATGTATGTATGTCAGGTAATTGCGCGAAAAGGCGGTCAAATCTATTTCATTCATTCATCACATTACGACATAGAGTTCATCAGAAACCAAGACTTACATTCAGTTTAAAAAAAATAGCAATTCATAGTTTGCAGAGTATTAAAAAACAGTGGATGGAAGCCGTGATGCGTGCTGGCTGCATCCACCGCGTGTCAATTATGTGGCGTCTGCATGTTCTTGGGTTTGGAGATGACGCCGTCCGGGTAGCGTTCCTTGAAGCGGGCCACCACCTCCGGATCCAGTAGGTGAATCCCGTCCAGCTGGTTCCCAAGCGTCACCCTGGGAAAGCGCAAAAAAAAAAAAGAGCATAGCACAACGGGCGCACACGGAGCAGATGTCGCTTTGGAAAAGCGCCACATACCAGTTGGGCTGCACGTTGTGCGGTCGACCGAAGAGCTCGATCTTCCTGGTTCCCGGCGAGAGTCTCTCGATCATTCCGTAGATCTCGTCGGGTTTGTGACTGGTGGAACGGACCTGAGCGGGACATTAGACGGTTTCTACACAGCATTCTCAAGCGGGTCGGGAGTGTCAATGCATTACCTCGGCAACGATGACATCACAGTCCAAACCTCTGTTGAATCCCTGAGGGTTGCCTTTGACGCCCACCTGGACAGAGACAGGTTTGAAACACTGACACGATGGCCGAGACCTACGGCAGGCGGCAACGCACCAGGCAGTGCTCCTTCCCGTGATTCAGCCAATGTCCTGTTCTTCCTGTCCGGATGATTCTCTGAAGTTGGTTGGTCTTAACCCAGATGATTTCATCAATACGTTCATAGCTGGCACACGAGGAGTTTGGTCATGCGCTTTTGCCAAGCCATGGAAGGCATCACGCCGGCAGCGACGCGGCGGCACCACTTACCCCCACAGACTCAGACACTCCCTCCCCAACTCCATCGCTCTATAAGAAATTAGGGGAAGGGAAAAAAAATACTTAAGAAATGAAAATCATATATTGAGTGACAAAAAAGAAAAAAAAAACTTTTTTTACCAACGTGTCATTCATGCTATTTTGACGTCGCATTTGAAACACAAGGCATTTCGATTATGCGCTGTTTCAGTTTGAGCACTAGGGGGCACTGTGTCAAAAGAGTAAACAGACATGAGACGCAGTCGAATGTCGAGTCGGAATACGGATGCCGTGTTCCCTCTGTGTTAGCTACAAAATCCATCCATCTATCCATTTGCTAATCCGCTTTATCCTCACAAGGGTCACTGGGTGTGCTGGAGCCTATCCCAGCTGTCTTCGGGCAGTAGGCGGGGGACACCCTGAACCGGTTGCCAGCCAATCGCAGGGCACACAGAGACGAACAACCATCCACGCTCAGAATCACACCCAGGGACAATTTTGCAGTGTTCAATCTGACTGCCATGCATGTGTTTGGAATGTGGGAGGAAACCAGAGTACCCGGAGAAAAGCCACGCAGGCACTTGGAGAACATGCAAACTCCACACAGGAAGGCCGGAACCGGGATCGAACCCGACGCGCTAACCATTGAACTACCGGGCCGCCTAGCTACAAAATGACGCGACTAAAAATAAATATAAGACAACTTTCTTGAGAACAGCACAAGTTCAAAAATGAAACTGTGACAGGACAATTGAAGCAATGCATCGGTTCTTATTTGACGAGCGGCACGGCGCCACGACTCGATTGACAGGAGCACGATCGGTTCCGGCAAATAGTTATCCTGGCAAAAGTCACCGGGCTTGGGGACGGCCGTGGCTGGGTAGTGGCACATTTGAACCTGCGCAATGTGCGTGCAAGGCATCAGCATGCACTGCAACGCCAGCGGCACATTTTAGGATCGGACCCAAGAAAAACATCAGTCAAATGCATGACAGAAAAGGTGCCTGTTGAGCGAGTAGGAGGCTCAGCCAATATAAGCGTGCGTGCCATTGTTCAGATTAGCACCACCTGCACCTTAATTTGAGCCAGGAAAAGCTCTCAAAAAGGCGGCGTTGGCTGCGATTACCCGCCGGTCACCCAGAGGAAGAGGAAGCCGTCATCCTGCAGGACGGGAATGTTGAGTTTCCTCATCTCGTCGTCCGTCAGCGTGCCGTAGGGCAGCTCCATGTGGATGTCCCAGGGCGGATCGGCCATCACCACGGCAAACTTGCCCAGGATGCTTTTTTTACCAACGTGTCATTCATGCTATTTTGACGTCGCATTTGAAACACAAGGCATTTCGATTATGCGCTGTTTCAGTTTGAGCACTAGGGGGCACTGTGTCAAAAGAGTAAACAGACATGAGACGCAGTCGAATGTCGAGTCGGAATACGGATGCCGTGTTCCCTCTGTGTTAGCTACAAAATCCATCCATCTATCCATTTGCTAATCCGCTTTATCCTCACAAGGGTCACTGGGTGTGCTGGAGCCTATCCCAGCTGTCTTCGGGCAGTAGGCGGGGGACACCCTGAACCGGTTGCCAGCCAATCGCAGGGCACACAGAGACGAACAACCATCCACGCTCAGAATCACACCCAGGGACAATTTTGCAGTGTTCAATCTGACTGCCATGCATGTGTTTGGAATGTGGGAGGAAACCAGAGTACCCGGAGAAAAGCCACGCAGGCACTTGGAGAACATGCAAACTCCACACAGGAAGGCCGGAACCGGGATCGAACCCGACGCGCTAACCATTGAACTACCGGGCCGCCTAGCTACAAAATGACGCGACTAAAAATAAATATAAGACAACTTTCTTGAGAACAGCACAAGTTCAAAAATGAAACTGTGACAGGACAATTGAAGCAATGCATCGGTTCTTATTTGACGAGCGGCACGGCGCCACGACTCGATTGACAGGAGCACGATCGGTTCCGGCAAATAGTTATCCTGGCAAAAGTCACCGGGCTTGGGGACGGCCGTGGCTGGGTAGTGGCACATTTGAACCTGCGCAATGTGCGTGCAAGGCATCAGCATGCACTGCAACGCCAGCGGCACATTTTAGGATCGGACCCAAGAAAAACATCAGTCAAATGCATGACAGAAAAGGTGCCTGTTGAGCGAGTAGGAGGCTCAGCCAATATAAGCGTGCGTGCCATTGTTCAGATTAGCACCACCTGCACCTTAATTTGAGCCAGGAAAAGCTCTCAAAAAGGCGGCGTTGGCTGCGATTACCTGCCGGTCACCCAGAGGAAGAGGAAGCCGTCATCCTGCAGGACGGGAATGTTGAGTTTCCTCATCTCGTCGTCCGTCAGCGTGCCGTAGGGCAGCTCCATGTGGATGTCCCAGGGCGGATCGGCCATCACCACGGCAAACTTGCCCAGGATGGACACGTCCAAGTAGCGGATGTCACAGCAGATCCACTGTCGGTCCAAAGCAGTCAGGTCAGCTTGGCGGTAGGCGGCGCCTAATGGCGTCACGCTTTTCCTCACCTGAGAGGGGAAGAGTTTGCCCACGTTGCTGTCGGCGTCGCCGTGCAGGCCAAGCTCGGCGGCACCCGGCTGGGCCCCCGCCGGGCTCCCCTCGGCTTCGGGGGGGCTGTCGATCTCATAGTGGACGTACTTGCAGGTGTCCATGTGGAAACACGTATTGAGGAAGGAACAGTCGCCCAGGTTCTCGTCCGTGTGATTGTTGATGATGCGCCTGGGAATGAACGGTGACAAGTCAATTCAGAGTCTGCCTTGTGGTCATCGGAGCAACAGAGAAACAGACCGGAAGTGGAGTTTGGTGCACGGTTGAGGCGTGTCCGCAGAGCGGACGCACTCCTCCTTGGTGCCGTGGTCGCAAAACTCTTGTACTTGAGCGCGGCCGCGAGAGCGAAACTTCTCCACTATAGATTGTTCTTTGGCTGTGCTGGCATTAAGCAGCTCCAGGATTTCTCGGCTCACCTGTATTAAAAAAAAAAAAAAAAAAAAAAAATTTAAAAACGACATGTCACAAGTCAGCATAAATGGCAAGTAACCAAATATAATTAGTTTGTTATCGAATTGTATCTGTATTTACTTGAGGATGTACTTTTCAGACAACTTTTTACTTTTACTCCAGACATCTGAAAACAGACAGTCTGCACTTTTTTACTCAAGAGACAAAATGGGCTCTTTTCAACCTGCGCGGATGATGACACGACGTCAGAAAGATGTAAATAGGGGAAACTTGAGCTCATAGCGCATGACTCAACAGATTTGGAAGTTACTCTCCATCCATGAACTTATTCAAGACTTATGCCAGCTACACAAATGATTGGTGGTCAATGTGTTGGGTCTTGTGTTAGCAAAAAAAAGCACAAGCTTCTTCTCTGTCTAATCTGCAAAAAAAAAAAAAAAACGTACCGAAGAAGCAATGTGTATTTTTATCAGTCATTTTCATGACTTAGCATTTAGCATTTTTTGGTTCGTCAAGTCAGTTGACATTAAAGCTCTTGGAACATATTTTGATAGCATAAGAAGTCCAGCCAACGCTAGCTAGCTCTAATGCAACATGTAACAAGATGTTTGTTTTTTTTTGTCTGGACTACGACGATAAAGGCTAAATGATTAAAAGAACTATTTTGTGTTCAGAGAAGTTGTTTTCTACTTGTGCCGAGTTACAAAAAAGGGTATGGGATGTAATGTAGAGAAGTAATCATGTTTACTTTTGTGCTCCGATACATTTTGAGAATTGGCCTTTTTTTTTCGACTTTGACACAAGGATCTGTACTTAAGTACAGTGTGAGTAATTATACCCCCTGTGGGAGACACATGACGAGTCAACGTGGATTAAGGGCAATGATCCCGCTGGCCGCCTCATCTGACCTTCTTACTCTGCTGCTCTTTTGTGGACTGCTGGTTGAGCAGGCTTTCAATTTCCATGTCCAAGTGAGACGAATGACTTTTACTGCTCCTGCCTTTCTTGTCGGCGTTGCTCCCCGATGCACCAAGCATGCCCGACGTCTGCCAAGACGCCGCCGGCAAAACATTGGTTGTGGCAGCGGCTGCAGGGTGGGGAGGAGAAGCGGAGCCCTGCACCGAAGGCGAGAAGCCAGGACTTCTCGTGTTCTGGGACTGCTCCTCAGCTTTTCTCTTGACTCCCGCCCGCGGGGCACCGGCACCTGATCCGATCATAGCCCATAGTTTGGTATGGTCCACCGCTACGACCACCGTCGTACAAGAAGACGACAATGCCGGCTGCCGCACTTCGATGAGCTCCTGAGCGGAGAACTTGAGCAAAAGACTCTGGATGCATTCATGAGCGACGGCCGTCTCAGACTGTGAACGAGACCACAGAAATTATATCGACATCCACATACCACGTTCATGACGTTCTGCTCAACTCACGCCATTCACTTCTTTGGTGATAGCGAGCGAGTCCTTCGGCAGAGGGAGACTGAGATCCGACAAATAGGCCAACATCCTCTTCTCCAATTCAGGGTCTGGAGGTTTCGCGGTGTCCTCCCGCGCGCCGCACGGAGCCGAAGCGGCCGACGGGGCCGGGCTGTCGCTCCTGGACACGGGGACGTCTGCACTTGTGGTCACCTCTGACACACAACACACGTGAAAGTAAAGTCATCAATGAATACATTACCTATTGACAAAACAATCAATTTCCAAACAAACTCGCCCCAAAATGAGTCCATTTTCGACGCGATTCGGTGCATTTCTTTCCGATTTAATCCGCTTCAATTATTTAGAGGCCAAATATAATTTATACAATTTATGGATCAAGTTGGTGTAAACTGTAAAAGTCTGAAGGTGGCAACGTGAGAAGCGATAACACCGCATCTTACCAGAGGCGGGTTGAGTCGCGTTTGACGTCGGCTCTTTCCGCCGCCGCTGGAGCCTTTCCCGCAGGGAGTCCAGCTGCTTCTTGTGCGCCTGGATGTTGCTCCATGTGTCTGACATGGCTACTCGAACAAACTATGCTGCAGCAGCAGCCGTGATGTTGGCGAAAAAGCCACAAAAATAACTCCCCCTAATGAACATACAATGCGGAACTTGCGATCGCTGCAGCGTGTGGTGCACAACTCAATGTTATCCGAGTAGCATCCTAATCATCCGGAAAGTTTCCATAATTAGCCAATTTTCGATCATAAATTACCTACACCTGTTCCAAATGTAACTTTATTGAGTCGGCGATTTTAACATTTTGAATCCCATGTCATGCGTCGAGACTTGAATACCGAAGATTAATGTGATGATGTTCCGAGTCGGAATCATTTGGCGTGCGGACTGACCTCACTTCCGCTATAGGCTAAATCAAAATCCTTATTTGTGAAAGCCATTTGCGCAAATCTTTGTTGTTTTTTTTTTCCTCACGGGGAAATGAGTCGTATACATCCTCATTCAAAGTGCGGAGTGTTGCTTTTAATGCTCAAGTCGTGACGTTTTTTTTTTTGACAAGCTTAACTCATTTTGTTGCAGACTGAGGAAGAAGATGGCGGAGGAACACAAAAGCAGTGAACTCCAAGACATAAAGGCAATTCTTTTCCGCGTTTTGACTGGTGATAAAGAACTACTTGGCATTCAGTTTGTTTTTAATGCGTACCTTTCACGCGGTCAACTTCGTATCCTGAACAGCTAAAAAAAAAAACCTACGTGTGTGTGTGTGAGCAGCTCATGCTTTGTGAAGGATTAGAAGACTGCTTGAAAAGGGTCCTGAGATTTAAAAAAAAATCTATAACATACACTTAATGCTGATTTTATTTGACTGGTTGACTCAAAAGTCCCATACGTGGGCGCAGGTATTTGTTTAAACATAGGATGACAAATTAAATAATCGATTGGTCTTTACTCCTTTTTGCTGTTGCAGGAGTTGGTGGATGAATTGTACAATTACAGAGACTGTTACTTTGAGACTCACAGCGTGGAGGAGGCGGCCCGGAAACAAGAAGATGTCACACTCGAGTTGGAAAAGGTGCTGAAAAAGCTGCAGGAAAAAGAAGGTAAAGTAGCGAGTGCGCTGTGTTCGACGTGGCCAACTTGTTTTCATGTTGTGCACTACCTTGTTGCGTGCCACATGTCCCCCCCAGATTCCTACAAGCACAAAGCAGAGTTTCTGCTGCTGAAGGGCAGGTGCCTCAGCGTAGCCCCAGATTTCAGCGTCGCTGCAGAGGATTGCCTTTCCCGCGCTGTCAAGCTGGAGCCTGGCTTGGTGGACGGCTGGAACACTCTTGGCGAGCAGTACTGGAAAAAGGGCGACCTGATGGCTGCGAAGAACTGCTTCACGGGAGCCTTGCAGCAGGTACACGACGACGCGAAAGGGGTGGACGGGGGTGCACATCATTACTCACCTTTAGCGCTCCTCCTTTTAGAGCAAGAACAAAGTGTCTCTGCGCAACATGTCCATGGTTCTGAGGCAGCTCCCAGCGGCGGACGGCGACACGCACGGAAAGCAGGTTATGGAGAGCGTGGACATGGCCCGGCAAGCTGTCCAACTGGACGTCGCTGACGGGACATCCTGGTGTGAGTGTGCCGAGCGTCCAAAAGTTGAGACGGTTTCAAATCCAATCTCTCTATTCTCCGCCTGCTCTAATTGCCTGCTGTGTCTTTGCAGATATTTTAGGCAACGCCTATGTATCCCTGTTCTTCTCTTGTGGACAAAGGCCGCAGTTTTCCACACAGGCTCTAAGTGCCTACGCGCAGGCTGTTAGTACATACGCACACAAATTCATCCACAAATGAATCCATCCTTGCTCAAGTGTTCCTCCTGCCTTCCCAGGAAAGAGTGGACCGAGCCGCCGCCTGCTACCCAGAGCTGCACTTTAACCGAGCCATCCTGTTTCAGTACGAAGAAATGTTTGGGTCGGCGCTGGGGGGCTACAGCCGCGCGGCCGCCTTGGACCCCGGCTGGCCAGAGCCTGCGGAGAAGGAAAAGCAGCTGATGGAGTACCTCAACAACGTCACAGAACTCTGTCAGAAAAAGGTGGGTGCGCTCTTCTTATATGTTAACAATTTCATTTCGAAGGTACAACTTTATTCTTGTTGTAGTGTTTCGGTCAAAAGATAGGACTACAGAAAAAAAAAATTGATTTATGTGATTAACCCTCACGATCATATCAGAGCTTTTATTTAGCCTAAAGCCAGGAGTAGGTTGGCATTTTTTCAAATAGGTTGAAGGGAGCGTGTCGGACGGTGTTCACAGGGGAAGGTGAAAGCGCGTCGTTTACGGAGCATGCTGTCCAACCTGAGCACGTCGTCTCTGGGCCCATGTTCCTCTCCCGATTTTCGCTCATGGACGGGTCGCGTGGGCAGCCTGGAATCGCGGCCATCATCCTCGCTGACGCACGGCCTCAACGGCGGCGTGGCCGCCCTGGGGAAGGTGGTGTTCAGTCTGGCGTCCCAGGATCGCATGGCCTTGTAAGTCGGGCCTTCTCTTCTTTTCTCTCCTCCTTGTCGCCACGCTCCATCTTTCTTTGCTCTCCAGTACGTTCGGCATGGTGGACAGCGAGGAGACGTGCGTGGTGGTGATGGTGTACAACACGGCCGACAGCTGGGGGGTCCTCATCGGAGACACGGTGGTGGTTCCCGAGCCTCGGGTCAAACGACACAGCATCACGCACAAAGACAGGGTGAGCGTTGGCGAAATGGCTCCGTCGCGGACGGGTCTCCTATGGCTGAAGTTGCGTTGTTTTGGGGTTTTTTTTTCCCAGTCGTTTGACTTCAAGAGCATCCGAGTGGACTCTCCTTTGTTCCTCATCGTCAACGGCAGGACACAAAATGCCCAGAGTCTCATCGTTACCTCCGTCAGCTACAAGCCTCAGAGTGAATAAGGACCAAATGGAGCGGACCAGTTTCGTATGTTGTTTTGTAAATAATTCCCGGCCGGCCGTCACGTTATTGTTTTTTTTTTCTTTATATTTATTTGAGTGTACATTGTTGTGGAGGCATCAACTGGTTGCAAAATAAAGTTGAATGTGCAATCCTGCTCGTGGTTGAACTGTTTGGAGGTTTAGTTGGCTCTAATACATACTCACTATTGTATCGCTATTTCAAATGTCATATGTTCGTTGACGTTTGTTTCTGAGGTTGACAGTGGTGCTTAAAAATCTTGAAGTGTTTGAATACACTGCAACAGGACCACAAGTCTAAAACGAAGACAACTCTTCACGTCATGATTTGCGAGACGAAATGTATGTTTCGCTCCTCAATCAAACACTGAAAAGCTAAACTGCCAATCGCTGTCTAAGTGGCAGAGCTGCCAAGTGGAACAGAAAAAAAGCGCATTACTATGATGCACATATGAAGTGTCAAAGCCCCATTGAAAAATTTTCTAGATAAGAAAATACAGTTTGCTGCTGCGATGTGCCCAATGTTAAAACTATCAAAACTGTTGATTTTTTTTTTTTAATTGAAAAGGGAACGAATTGGTTGTTTGTTAATAAGTGAAATATATTAAGTAAAAATATAGTTTGTACGAATATCTGATTATTCGATGGAATTTTCAGCAACAAAATCCTTGCTTACGGACCCTGGTATTAATTTGGAAATAAATGCTCCTCAAAATTTGACAATCGCTCCTCAAATTAAGTCTTGGATAAGCAAAACTGCTCTTCAAAGAAAAACGTCATTTTGAGCTTTGCTCTTTGTTTCAACAATAAATAAATTAAGATGTGCAGCTACGAGCATCTCAGGCTATGGATTAAAATGTGCGCTTTGTAAACTTTTGAAAGCCCAAGTGATCAATTTTGCAGTACTTTTTGCACAACTTGTTCTTGAACGGCAAATATCACAGCAGGTATTTGATCCGTGAACGGACCAATACCTGCATGCAGCAAACACTTTTTTTCCCCTTCAGCTCCTTGTTGAGAAGTAAGTTGTCCAAAAAGTGCTAAAACATTCAATATTAGACGAGCGATCAAAAGTATGTAGAGATTCGACTGCGTGGATTTTACGCATTTTTGATTCATCTTGAAATGCTTGATCTGAAAGCCGACCATCCGTGACGTTTTGGGAGCCCCCCTCGTGTATTTTTCGAGCGGGCTTTCCAGCTGTTTCATGGTTCCGCCCATTCAAATTGGCAGATGGAGAAAACAACCAACAAACCAACATTTTTTGAAAAGCAAGACATCGCCGGCGTTTGTAGATTCGAGAAAGCGGGGCCGCTCAGACACCTGCCCTATATCCTCCACCACCTTAAAGCGATGAAATATATCCTTTCATAATCCATCAACAAGTCATTACAGACATTAATCGGACTCACTTTCTTCCCCACAGGGTGGTAGGTCATCTCTTGGGACGCAGAGTTCTTCTTTCTGCTTCCTCGTCAGGCAGAACGAATCTGTGGTGGCGAGCCAGCAAGTACAGGACGGACGGACAGACAAAAATTGGACAGTCGCATTTGAAGAGACCCAAAGAAAGTCAATATCTAATCGAGGCAGGAAGAAAATGAGACACCGATTTGAAGCTATAGTCGTGAGGCCGTGGCAACTAATAAAAAAAAAATTAAGTCTAATTTAGTCCGTAGTAGTAAATAGGATATGTAGACACACTCGCCTAACATATATATAGGCAGCCTGAGATAGGTTCCTTCTCAGTGACGGTGTGGATGTTGAAAATGGCGCCAAAGGAAATGTGGACTACTGTACTACATACACCCGGCATGTACAGTATTTTGTTTAGCATGCGAAGAAACTTCATATGAATTGTATCTTTGTTTGCTAGATACTGTACGTTGACATTATTCACATCTTTAGCCAAGTGGATAGCAACATCTTTGACGAACCATGGATGTCTTTATCATCTTTGAGCCGTTGTTTTATTTGCTATTCACTTTCCACAAACGCTAAGATACACGATACAAATTCGTTAAAAAAAAAAAAGAACCCACTGTAAACGTTCTGCAAAGTGAAATGTTGGGAGTAGCATGGCGAGTTGTTGGTTATGTTATTATTATTATTTCATGTTTTTTTTAAGAGATTACCCTCAAAATAGTATACGCAGGTAACGGAAAGTGACGTCAGCGAATCCTGACACCTGATTGGAAAAGAGGAGGAGACTCGTGCTGAGTTCGCCTTCATTCAAACTATCGAAGGCACTTTGAGCACTAAACCCCCACCCCCAAAAAATGGCAGCCGAGGTCGGTGCATTTCCTCGCACAGGTTCAACATGTCCCCACAGTCTCCTTCTCCTTCTTTTATCCAAAGCTACGCACGGTACGAGAGGTGACGAAGTGAAAGGGGGGCATTGTGCAGTGCGCCGCGGCCTGGGCTTCAGAGTGAACCGAGATGGGGGGGTTGGGGTGGGTCGATGCTCACTAGACTGTGTCCTGCACGTCATTGTCACATCTTGCCATCTATTCGCCCGCTGCCACTTAAATAGAGCCCAAACGCATCAATGCGCGCGCGCGCGCGCGCTGCTGCTGCACGCGGGGCCGCCCTCGCTTCACACATTGGCTCCAAAAAGCATTTGCAAGTCTTTATTTTCTCTTGGCATTTTGTCTCACGGGGACGGG